TTACTATCATATATATTAGCATATAAGACAATCCCCAATTTTTGCTTTGCTATTTTTTGTTTCAAGGCTAATCTTATATGCTGATACATATGCTAATAACATGTGGAACAAGCAAACAGGAAGTATGTTTCAGAAAAATACCCATATATATTGGCATATAAAGTGTCAAACACAAAAATTGCTCAAAATATTGACCTCGTCTTATACATGAGTTATCTTATACGCCAATATATACCAAGAAAAAAGAAAGGAAAATCAAGAAGTGGTTACTGCAGCTACACCAGTGGGCACAAAGACACACACAGAGAAAGAAAGGGTGGACAGAAGTAATCTAGTATATGTATGGTCAACAGTGAGTATTAAGAGTTTAGGTTTGGGAAGGCCTAGAGGTATTTGCAGTTTTTCTACTTTCATGGGGGTCTTGCACTGCTAACTCCTATGAATGTGGAGGACCAACTGTATTTGTAAAAATTATTCATAATTCACCTACCTGCTAATTTGTAAGTGTAATATTACATGCACTTACTTGTAGGTAAGTCCCACTGAACTCAGTCTGGGGAGATATTTAAAGAATCGGACTGTAAGCAAGGCAGAATGAAAAACTTCTAACTAGGAAAAGACATAAAATTCAGCAGGTGCTCAGGATGGCTAACAGAAAGATGTTTTCTTTAGCCTAAGTAATGTTTAAGGGAATGGACTGACCACACATTTGCATTCTATTGTGCATACCAAGATTTTAGGAAAGTGAACTCAGTATTTTTACACTCAGCATTTTTCAGAACCTAGAAAATTTCCCAGAGATGTCTGGTTGCTCACCATATGAACAAAATGCTGGACTGGATGGATGTTTGGTCTGACTCAGCATGACTGTTCATGTTAGGCGAAAACTTACGGTTTCAGATAATTTCGTCTTTCCTTAACTATGCCAGTTTTGTTATGTAACTCAAAATAGAGAAGCTAAAAGTTAGATTAAGGTAACTATGAACATTCTATTTACAATATCAAAAATAATAAACTGTCAAATAAATACTGCTTGAAAGTTTTTCCAAAATGACTTTTTTCTTTGCAGTAAAACATGGTAACAAAACACCTAATGCTGTTCATTCATTCTGTTGCTATCACAGCTAAACTGAACACATAATAAAGCCAGTATCAAAGAAATGTAATATATTTTGCATTTGTATAGGCTTCTATAGTTTTATCTTCTTCAGTGGTTGAGCCCAGGAAACATTATGCAAACATTAGAGGGCGTTTAGACAGTGTACACACATACTGTGAAAGAGATAAATGTACAACATTCACAGGAGCTGATAGATCATTTTTACATTTAGTGTAATAAGTCATACGTGTAATACAGAGAAATGTTTGATACTTACTGCTTATACCTTAACGCAATGGTTTTAGACCTATTAGTAGCTATCATTCCACTGTGCAAATAAACATTATAATTGATTAATCTTACATTTTATCACAAGATGATGAACTGAATCAACTGGTTATATAAGCCAATCTGGTTACTAATCCTTTCTTGGCCTTAATTGGGAATACCCTATATTGAGAGTAATATAAACAAGTGAGCCCTATATCAAATCATGCCAACACTTGTTCTGGAAGCAAAAAGGACAAAACTGAGACTGTCATACTTCAGGCACATCATGAAAGGCAAGAGTCATCAGAGAAGATAATGAAAGGTGTATCAAAGAGAGAAGAAAGGAAGCTCGAGTGCATTCCCATCTTTCCCAGTATCTTCCCTTCACCCCAATACGCCACCTTTTATTACTGTCTGGAGTTGGTTTCCCATCCTCAGAGAGTGAACAATATGGTTCTTTCTGCATAAGCTGCAAGAGGGCAACAGAGGCACTGGTGCCTGATTCTCAGCTCCTTTGGCTCTGGCAATCTGGAAAACCCTTTGGCTCTTCACAGACTGTCCAAGTGCCACAGGATTGCTCTCCCACACATGCCTCCATTAAAACTTTTCACTGTAAACTAAACAGCATTTTATTATACAAAGAGATGTAAAGCCATCTACTATCTTACACACCATTTCCTAGAGGTTCTTTCAGTCGCACTTACAAAGGTCAGTAAAACAAGGAAATGACATATGCTCCCATATATTTATTTATTTATTTATTTATTAAAACATTTTTATGCCGCCCCATTCGCCGAAGCCTCGGGGCGGCTTACAACACTATATGCAGTCTAAGGGTCCTTAACTGCTATAAACTCCCCAGATAACTTCAACTCTTAGACAATATAGAAGTTTAATTAAATTAAATTACTATATAGCTACCTACCAGTTATGAATGCTTTCAGCATCTCTGACAATATAATAATAGGACTTAAAGTCAAATAAACAGTAAGACACAATAGCTATGATTTGAAACGTCATTTTAATTGTTAATATTATTTGCTTATTTTACCTGGCTAGGGAGACTTATTTTATATTGTTAATTTGTTTTATGTATTATATTTTATGTTGTGAGTTGCCCCGAGGCTTCGGCGAATGGGGCGGCATAGAAATGTTTTAATAAATAAATAAAAATGTTATTAGTCAAACAGAAGTCATAAAATATTATTTCTAGATCTTTGCACAGCAATTTAATACTCATGATTTGCACCCAAGTTCTGCAACCCTATAAACTGTAGTCTGCAAAATCCTAGGTAAACTGATTCCCAGAAGGGTAGCTATTATTTTATCAAAAATATCTTAAATACAAATACATTACTCTAGAAAAGCTACTCTTTTGGGCTTACATACTCTTCTAAATTGCTCCTCCATTTCCTTTTTAGCACTAATCTGAATTTATCATGTCATCAGAAATCAACAGCTACAATTAGTCCTTGTCCTTGAACTCAGAATTGGAAGATATGGTCTGAAAGACTTCCAGTTTAGAAAGTAAGAGCTAATCTTGTCAGTTTCCACAGCATATTATGTGTAGCACTAGATACACTTTTTAAAAAGGCTATGCATGAGAAGAGTAAGCTTGCAATCTTGTAGGTTGCTTTTGATCTTCAAACTAAATTTTGAATTGAGCCACAGTATATAATTGCCAGAGTTGTTAACTATCTTGAGTACATTTCAGTGAGGCTCTAGTTTCACAGTTGGAAAGCCCATGCTTCAGAGGACCTTTCCTTAAGGATACCCACTACTTCAGCAAACTATCACAGCTGCAGGATTAGTTACCCACCTTCTTGCGTACCACATATTTATATGTGGCTAATCTACAATTCATCTTGACTCCAGTGCTATCCACTGGCATTACATCTGGCATTATGTCTTATTTTTTTCTAAGATAATGATTTCCACTTACATTGTGTTTTTTATTCTACTTATTTTTCTGTTGAAGATAATACAAGTTCACCAGAAACTTGCAGTATTTTTCTAAGCATCACTAATGACAAATAATCAGTGTCTAAGTATACTTCTCTTCCAGGTGAAAACAAGTTACAGTCAACATTATAATAGTTATTGTTTTCTTTTCTTTTTACACAATAAGCCTCCCAGCCTTATTACAAAGATTAACATCACTTTACTCACTGCTGCACTACTGGCCAATTTTATAACCTGTAAACACTACAGATGGTATAACTACTATCAGGCACAGCAAATGCAGAGATTCCAAGATGGAAAGGGTGCTAGTCTGTTTTGCAAAAATAAATAAATAAATAAATAAATAAATAAATAAATAAATAAATATTACTGTCCAAAGAGCACAGTATCATAAAATCACAGAATAGCAGAGCTGGAAGGGACCAAAAGGCCATTGGGTCCAACCCCCTGCTCAGTGCAGGACTCCAAATTAAACTATTGCTCTCAGATGGCTGTCCAGTTACATCTTGAATCTCTCTAGTGTGGGATAGCCCACAACCTCCCAAGGTAATTGGTTCCACTGTCATATTGCTCCAACAGTCAGGGAGTTCTTCAGAGGTACAGCCAGAATCTGGCTTCCTGTAACCTGAACCAATTATTCTGTGTCCTGCACTCTGGGATGATGGAGAAGAGATCCTGACCTCCTCCTTTGTGGCAACCTTTCAAGTACTTGCAGAGTACTATCATATATCCCCTTAGTATTCACTTCTCAAAGCTAACCATGTCCTATACTTTTAACCTCTCCTCATAGGCTTTGTTTCCAGTCCTTATTACCCTTCTCTGAACCCTTTCCAGTCTGCCTGCATCTTTCTTAAACGTATTGGACGTTCCTTAAACAGCACTGGACACAGTACTCCAGATGAAGCCTAACCAGTGCCGAGTAAAAGGGAACTAGTACTTCACATGACTTGGAAGTGATACTTCTAACAACCCAGCCTAAAAAAGCATTTGCTCTTTTTGCAGCCACACCATATTGTTGACTCATATTCAGCCTGATTTACAGAGTTCAATGAACAATCCAGGGTGCAAACAGTAACCTTTAGTTGCTAACATTTTAACCTGCACTTGGCTCTCATTTAAGCAACCTGTTAAGTCTTTGTTGCAAAGGCAATCGTTCAGAGTACAATGAAGAGATGGAATACTGGACAGAGCTCTGGAAGATTTAATAGCGACACAGGAAATGGGCTTTTCACGCTCCCACAGGGTGGGAGAAACAGCTCGTACCACAATCCCTCTGTCCCCTATTCTCCCCTCCCGTTATTAAAGGTACAGAAGCCTCTTCTTGTGTCTGGGAGGCCTCCACTGCCGTTTACTGTCCCCGCTGGCCCGAGTACCAAATATCGGCTTCTCTCCCCATTAACGGCGCCCAATGCAGCCGCTGAAAGATCAGTCTTACTCGCAATCTGACTGGGTTCTTCAGAAAAAAAAGCCCCATCGCTCCTGTGGCTATGTCCTACCACCACCTCCACCTGAAATGGAAGGAAGACGACGACTCGTTCCCATCAGTGCCGATGGGCGCACCCACCAAAAAGCATCCATACGCTAGTTGCTAGTCCGCAGCATGGGACTGGTTCGCGGTCAGCGCGGGCTGAGTGGAAAACGCCAGAGCAAATCGGGGGTGGGTTTGTACCTGCGAGCCTCGCTGCTCTTGCCAGCGCTTCAGCTGCTCGCTAGCGCAGTCGCGACTTCCGGCCATTTTCTAAGACTCCAGACAGACCCCAGCTGCAAGGGTGAGGGGAACCCCTTTGGGACGGACGGACGGACGGACGCCCTCCTCTGAGCGGTACGAAGGAGGCCTGGAGAGCGCCTCCCGTGCCGCCTCCTGCCAGACCCTGATGGACAAGCAACCCAAGGCGTTAGATCCGCAGGAATCTAACTTCACAGACCCCGCCCCTGCTCTCCCTCATTGGCCACTGGCTGCTTCGCGGGACGCCCCCCCCCGGAGGCCTCTGGGTCTCAAGAACGGACCGGCAAAGAGCTTGGCGAACTGGAGAAAATTTGGAAGGTCGACAGAACCGAAAACAACGCACGGCCGTCTTTATTCTCCCCCGGCTCAGTGGGGCTTACTTGAAGACGAACGTGTACAGGATTTTTGGCTCGACTTTAGCCGAGCTAGATTCAGAACAGCCTTCTCTAACCTGCATTGCAGTTCTCAGAATTCCTGACCATTACTTTTGCTGTTTTGGGCTGGAATATCTGGAGGGCACTAAGACTGCAGTAGTTTAGTCAGGAACAGTTGCCAATTAAGATAAACGTGTGAAGATAAGCCTTTGATGGTTCCCCCTATTCCCAGCGCCTTTTCCTCACCCCATGACTCCAAATAGTCTCTTCCTGTACAGTTCAGAGAGCGAGAGAGACATGGGCTTCACAGGCACAACTCTCTGGGCAGTATGGTGAAATCTCGTCCTTCCTGCCCAGGGAGACCAACTGCTGCTCTTCACTTGTGCTCTGCGAGGATGTAGTGGAGAGGACCGTCAGGGGATTCGGGGGGGAGGATCCCACTTCTTTTGGAGGGATCCCTTGGGGGTGTTGCTCAATCCCTGAAGCCAGCGTCACTGTCCCTCCCCCACCAACTCTCAGGAGACTTCATCTTGCTGGTTCGAGGCTGGAAGCTGCCACTGTCAAAGTCCTGGACTCTGGACTCATGGAGGATGTCCCACTCGTATGTACACAAGGTCAGTGGCTGCAGGGGCCACCGAACATTAAAGGAAAGCAAACAATTGCCAGTCCAGACTGCTGCTCTTGGAGAAAATAACTACACATATTTCTATAGGAGTGGGTAACTATTACCTGAGTTTCCCCCTCCCCTTCTCTTCCTGTTCCTTTCCCCTGGTATGTCAGTTTTTTATATAGTAAGCCTGCCAGCAGAAACTGCCTTATCAGTTCCACATAAGCAACTTGAAGCTTTTTGGCTCAATGAATGTAAATTAAAAAATTAAAAGCTCATTTTTATTGTATAATTATAGGTTGCATAATCTTGGAATTTGGTGTGGCTTGGGGTGTGTGGTTTTGGTGGGGGCATGACTGAGGTGCAGTTCTGAGTCTCATGAAGGGACCCCCACCTGTATTTCTAGGTGACCTTGCTGGACCCAATCTCTCTTGTTGCACACTGCTCAGAGATAGTGTGTGGAGGAACAGGTGAGTAATTTTGCAGGAGCAAATGCCACTTCTGAAGGTGTGGAGATTGCAAGGGAAAAGCTGCTGCAGCCTGTGCCTCCAAAGCCTGTCTTCTTCACTTGCCAAGCTCTTCTCTCTCTCTAGTGGGTGGGGAGGAATGGGACCAGCAGGGCTACTAAGAGTAAGCAAGTGAGAGAGTGGACGCCCTTATGTGGCTGCTCAGATAATCCGTCTTGACCAAGAATGTTGTTGGCAACACCCACTGTAGCCCAGGAAAGGGATTTTTGCCAGCAGCCTAAAATTATTAAAATCTTCTGGGTCCAGAGAACATTTCTTCAGGAGTGGCCTTATCATCTGTTTCTGATGGCATGGGGCAATTCCTTCTTGTTAAGAGGCATTAATCATCTCCCTGGCCCAACCAGCTGTTACCTTCCTCCTGGCTTTTATTAGCTAAGAGGAGCAAGGATCCAGTACAGACGTGGTTGTGCAAACCTGCTGAAGCACCCTGTCAACATCCTTGAGCTGTACTAAGAGGAACACATCCAAAAAGACTTGAATAGGCTGTGCTCTGGATGTCTTGCCTGATTCCACTGCAGTAACATTGTAGGTTAAATCCTGGTAGTTGCAAAAATTGGTATTAAATGGTACAGTTACACTGTCTGGATCCAAAAAGCTCTGGATGCACCACTAGCAATTTATCAGCAAAAGTAAGGTAGTGGCAGCTTCATAAATGTAAAGGTAAGAGCTGTCATTTTCACTGTGACCCTTGTACCACAAGGTGGGGTGTAAATGTGAAGGAACTTGTAGTAAACCACAAAATAGATACTGGCAAACTTTTTAACAGTTCAGCAATAAATACTGAGTCTATTTATTTGTAAACAAACCTGACATCTGCCAGTATGGCAGGCTGGGGAATGCAGGGGGGTTATAGGATTTGTTTTTCTGTCTAAATATGCATAGGGTTACATCCTTAATTTACAGAGTAGGAAACAAAGTTTTCTTAGAATCTATATGTAAAGTTTTTGCCCAGTTCAAACATAAAGCTAAATCATGGTTAATGACGTGATGTCTGAATTAACAAACCATAATTAAGACTATTTTATATCCATCTTTTTTCACTCTCTCCATTCTTACTTTGTTCCTGACAAGAAGAATGAAAAGAACTGAGAGAATCTTGTTTTTGACTGTCATCACAATCCAAAACAGGGACAGCTGCCTTCTGTATGTGGGAAGGAAGCAGAGGGAGTTGCTCTATTCTGTAACTGCTCCAGGAGGCAAAAGTATGACTTGCTGCTCAATCTACTTTCATAATGAGGAGAAAGCTTCTCAGCTTGTTGACCAGAGACTCAACGCAGAGACTATATTAAATGTCAAAAAGTCTCACATGGGTGTGCATGTACCTTCTTTGAAAACCATACCTTTCTTACATATATTGCTGTATTTTGCCATGTATTGATTAAAATCTGCTTGGGAACAGCTAAAACTATTTCCTGAATAAGACCTGACCCATAAGCTGCCTACTCACCTCATTAGAGGGCCAGGAAGGAACCTGTTCCTTAGAAACAAGAACAGATCATCGAGGCTAAATTGTGTTTTCCCATTCTTTATTTGTAGATGAGTATTATGCAGAGGCTACTTGACATATTCACCTCTGGAGCTTTTCCAGCTGAGTCATCCATCCTAACTGCATTTTCCCCTACTGGAACAGGGTGGAGATGGCCTTTCAATCCATGAGTGAAAACGACAGCCCCTTCCTGCCTCGCATTTTGCTCAGACACAGTTTGAACAGGACCACTTTGTGTTAAAACCACAGATAACAGATAAAATAATAATAGATCTGCATATAAAGCGCAGGTTCAGTCTAAAAAGAACAAGCACAAAATCAAATTATTGCTGTAGCAAGAACAAAAATGCAAGGGTAAAGTACATATCTCATTGGGTTCACATTCTATTCAAGAAGACACCTTACAATAACATTGCAGTAATATAGCAGGAACACACTTTTAGGCTGCAATCCTATGTGTTTCCATTATTGTTTGGAAGGCCACAGGATTCTTTAGAGACCCAGGTCTAAGATCCTACAATATCAGACCTGGGACTCCAAAGGCTGAGCCCTTGCCCTCTTCCCTCATAGCCAACACAAAAAGTACTACACTGGCTGTACCACATCAGAACTGGGTATTGGGGGGAGGGAGAAGTGGCATGCTGCAGTGTGGAAATCAGAAAAATATGGGGCCATGAAGTTACACCAATTCCAATAGCTGCTATAGCCTCCTCCTCCTTCCCTCCCTATTGTGAGACTTTGTTTAGAAAATTCTCATTCCAAATAGGGCAAAATTCTTGTGAAAGATTTTGCATACCTTCGCTGAATCATCAATTCAAATAAAACCTGCAGTCAAGAAATTAGAAGATGACTGAGATTTGAAAGGGCAAGAATGAAGGAACTGGAAAAGACAATCAAGTGTAAGGACATTTCACTGTAGGCCAACACCAAGATCATCCACGCTACTGTATTCCTGCTCTCTATGTATGGGAGGTGAAAGCTGGACAGCGAAAAAAAGTAACATGTTCAAAACACGGTGCAGGAGGAGAGCTTTGCAAATACCCCAGACCAACAAAAACATCAACTAGTGGGTCCTAGACCAAATCAAGCTAGAATGTGCCCTGGAAGCAAAAAAGGATGAAACTTATGGCTGTTGTACTTCACCCACATCATGAAAATGAAGGTTCATTGAAGAAGGTGATAATGCAAAGGAAAGTTGAAGACAGACCAGGAAAAGAAAGGCCAAATATGAGATGGCACAATTCCATGAAGGAAACCACAACTATGAGTTGACAAGAGCCGGGCTGCCAAGGTCAAAACATTTAGGTGGTCATCATTCATAGGATCATCATAAATGAAAGACAACTTGATGCCATGTAACACAGAGAGAAAGAGAGAAAATCCAGTGGCACCAATCAGCCCCACTGCGCTTTGTCCCTTGCACTGGATGCCCATAAGTCTCCAAGATGAGAGATTTATGAACATCTGCCAAATAGGACTGTGCTCTGATTATACTTCATACAGTACAATAACTGAACCCATATTTCTTACACTGAGAAACAAGACTAAGAAAACCAAGATACATAATACTTACTTCCTGAATTTATAAAATAATTGCAATTCCTTTGCATAATTAATGGCATGTTACCAGTTGAATTATGCTTGAATTGAGTGACAGGTTGACCCTCCTTTAACTTTAAATTCATGACCTTATTTATACTTAGCATTCTCTAACCTGAGAATTACAGGACTAATTAGTATTTCACACTTTTTTGACCTTATCTAGTTAATGAAGTTATTCTCTTGTTGCCCTAAATGCTAATTGTGCAAGATACTTATTAGAACCTATTTATTTAAATAACATTACTAATTCTTGCCACACATGTTTTTGGCAAGAGGTCAGCACTAAATAATCTTAGCCAAGTACTAAGTGGAAGCTCTACACTATTACTGTTCCCATGGTTGTGCTAATCATTTCAGGGTCAACTGTGCCTTAAATAGTTATGCAGAAAATTTTTTGGCATGTGTATTATTTTCAGTCCTGATTTTTATATTCATGACAATAAAAGGACTGTATGTAACTGATTTCAAGTGAAGGGAAGTCTTTTGCAATAGCACTAGTCAATGTGGATGCACATCCTCATTAGCTATGAAAGATGAGAAGGAAAATATATTT